CTCAAGCTGTCCTTGCTGACTCTGAGCTTTGGGTCACCCCAGTTCTCTATGACTGTCTTCCTCACTGTAAGATGGGACAATAATCTAACACCTACCTCATATGACCGGCATGCAGATTAAATAAGTTAGTAGGAGGAAAGTTCTTCAAGCAGGCCCAGGCACACAATGAGAACTAATAAACGTTACTTATCATTCCTTTGGGTTCCCCCACCCTCACCCCTGGAAACTGGCCAGGCCAGAAATTACAGGGGCATAAATTCCTTCTAGCCTTGAAGTTGCTGATGTGGAAGGAAAATCACAATTCTCCAATGGAAACTGAGCAAGGGGGCTGGCCGGGCGGTGGCTTAGGAGACAGGCAGCCTGGAACACAGCTCAGTGTTCCACAGCACAGTGGAACAAGCTCCAAGGGCTTCCCAGGGCTCAGCAGAACTGACAGAGGCAGGGACACCATGTGCTCGGAGGAGGTTCTAATGGGCTGTGCTGTCCCCTGTGCCCCCAGAGGCCTCTGCCTGGGGCCTGGCTCTGGATTCACTCAAGGGATGCCTTCAGCCAAGGATGTGTGACCTTGGCATCGCCCACAGTGCTACTCACGGGTTGAGACATGTGGTTTGAATCCAGCCCTCTGCAAATATGCTCATGTGTTCCCTCTCGCCCCAGCCATGTCTTTCTCATGAAAATTATTTAACCAAACTTTAAAAAATGGAACAGAAATTCTGAATTCCAAAATCTCTGCCAGCCTCACTTGGAGTCTGAGTAGAGGTGGAAGAATCAGTGATCAGGCAGTGCGCGCTGCTGAGAGGAGGGCAAAGGTCAGGGGACAGAGACTCATGGGTCGTCACATCTTCAGCGATGGCTCTAGAACCATAGCCAACCTTGATTTTTATTTCTCATACCGCCCCCCCCCACACACGTGCACACACAGAGATACACACACATTGCACAGATAGCATGCACACAATACACACATGTGCATGCACATCACATATGTACACAGGTATACAAACAATACACAGGTACTCTGCGTGTGAGACACACGTGCATGTTTGTAAACACATGTGCATAGGCACACACATACACAATCATTATATGGCTTCCCTCTGGTTGCCTCTCCTCCTACTCAGAAACCCCTCACCAAGAAACACTCTACAGGTGCTTTGTCATATTGTCTGTTTGGATGGGGAGAGGAGCATGTGATCTGTCTTCTCTCCATCCTCCCTGAGGACGTGCTCTGTCCTCCCAGCATGTTATCCACTGTCCATGGCAGTTTGGTGGAAAACCATATTTTCCTTCCCCCCCACTGCAGAGCTGGTGGGGATCACAGTTAATAAGACTAGGGAGAGCATTCAGGGAAGGGGTGCTAGTGCTAAAGTGCAAAAGACCTCTCTGGTTTCTATTTGACAGCAGGCTCCCTCCATGCCACTGGTGCATCTTATGGGGCTCATGGGGTACATCTGTGACCAGCCTGACTCCCATCTTAACGACAGCATTAACTCCTCATTAGCCAAGGGGGAGGGTGCTCCACTTCATTGCTCAACTGCCTCATCTAATGAAGGACACACATTGAGCCCAGAAATGGACAAAGACACTGTATTAGTTGGGTGTTGCTGTGGTAACGCTGTGTAACAAACAGCCTCACATCTTGATGGCTTGTACCAACTTGCACCTTTATCTTGGTTGCAGGGCTGTGAGTAGGTGGGCCCAGGGCTGGCTCCAGGCTGGCGGTGTGTTTAGGGCTATACCAGGTGCCTCGCCTGGGGAGTGCTTGCTCCTTCCTTGGTGAAGGACAGGTTTGCAAAGAGGCAAGTCAAGCCCCACCGACTCATGAAAGACCTAGGGTAGGATGTGCTATGTGTTAAGTCCATTCATATTCCATTGGCAAAAGCAAGCCACATGGCCAAGGTCAAGGACAGTGGGCGGGGAGGTGTACTCCATCCAGAGAAAGCATGGCAGGGTGAGGAGGAAGGAGGAACTGTGAGCAAGTAATACCATCAGCGACCCTGTGCTTGAAAGGGAGGAAGTGTGCAGAAAGTGGGTGCAGGAAAACCGATCCTGCCACTCATTTCAGTGTATCAAACCATCTACTGGGCTCATTACATATTTTGACTCATTTGTATCCCGTGTGAATGCTTGGAGGGAGGAAATCTCATTCTCCGATTTGTAACTGACAAAACATGTCAGAGAGGTTGTATAACCTGCCTATTGTAACGAAACTCAGAAAGGGAGTCTAGACCCCAGGTGTGTCCTCCCTAAAGGCCCTGCCATATGCTTTTTTTGGCTACCTCCTTTTTAAAATTCCTCTCCTCAGGAGCTGTGGGTGGGTGTGACTGCATCTTCCCCAAGGAATTAAGGAGGCATCTTGGTGGAAGGGTGGGAGGTGGGGAGGTGGCAGGAAAGACGGTGTGTGTGTGTGTGTGTGTGTGTGTGTGTGTGTGTGTGTGTGTGCGTGCGCGCGCTGGATGGAGAGAATTGGGATGGGTCCTGCGTGCTGCAGCGGATCATCCTTTCTTGAATGTGCTCATTATTATTCAGATGGAGATTTCACTTCAGAGGATGTTTTTTCAGTTCGATTAAAGATGCTTTTCTTTCTCTAAAGCTTTCCTTGGGTGGCTCCGTGCGGACATCTGCTCATGGCCGTTTTGAACCTTTCTCTCTGCACAGCTGCTCAATTGCCAACTTTCCCCAGGTTGTCTGATGCCAAGGCTGAGAGAGAGAAGGACCCAAACAGTCTGTTTTCTTGAAACATTTTAAAAAGATGATTTATTTTTCCCTAGTGGCATCCAAAACTTTGAGAATGCAGATTATGAATCCAACTTGAAAACATATTTTTCTTTTTAGAAGGGGGAAAAAAGCCAAACAGACTTCTTTGTCTATGGCCATTTCTCTATTTATTTTAAAATATTGGTATTCTTGCCAGTTGTGTTGGTAAATGTTAGCAGTCTGGACCTTTCAGGCTCCTCATCTGTAAAATGGAAATGAAACAATTCTGTCTCCCTATGCTGATGTGAGGAGTAAAGGCAATTATGACTGATACACAATGGAAAGTCCTATCTGTAAGAAAGACTGGGATCCAATACCTTCATTTTTTGGTGTCTTCTTCATAAAATCCTCATAACTTTCCCCACAGCTGAATGGTCTGGATGTTCACTGCAGCCCGTGTGTTGTAATAAAAATTGGAAACCATCTAAATATCCTCCTGTAGCGGAATGGGTGAAGAAATCGTAGCATGTCTCTACGACAGCTGTTCCACAGCTGTTAAGTAATCTAATTAATATAGATAGTAAGTGATAGAGACAGATATGAAAAAGAACATATTGTTACATCCACCAAAGCAGGTTGTGGAATGGGCATCTCTATGCAAAAATAATTACCATGTGTGGTGACTGAAACATGATCTCCTGAAAGTTATCCATATCCTAGTCCTTGGAAGCTGGGAACATTACCTTATTTGGAAAAGGGATCTTGGCACATCTGACTAGGTTAAGGATCTTGAGATGGGGTTGCTTATCCTGGATTATCCAAGTGGGCCTAAGCAACATCACATGCACTGAAGTGCAGTATACACAGGGGAGGAGACAATGTGAGCACAAGGTGGAGTGCGGTGGCCACAGCCAAGGGATGCTAGCAGCCACCAGAAGCTGGAGGAGACAGGAAGCAGCTCCTCCCCTGGGGCCTTCAGAAGGAATGCTGAGAATAGAAGGTCCTGCTGGCACCTTGATTTTGACTGAGGGAAACGTATGCTGAACTCACTTCTGTTGTGTTAAGCATTCAAGTCCATGGAACTTTGCCACAGGAAACTAATACACCAGAATACATACCTAAGGGGAGGAGAAAGACAATTCACATTTTGTTTGATTTTCTCAATATTATTTGGGTGGGCCTCCCTGGTGGCACAAGGGGTTAAGCACCACACTATGAAGCAATCCGCGGCCTCTGCAGCAAGAGTTCGATCCCTGGCCGGACAGGGAGCAACCCACATGGCGCAGCAGACCTCTCCTGTCTCGCCCGCTGCTACCCTCAGCAGTGTATTTCAGTCAATCTGCCTGTTCTGTTCCCCACACTGTCTCTGGCGAATCCCCTCACTCCCCTGCATCTCTGGCCTGTACCCCAGCTCTCGTATGCATAAATAAATCTTTAAAAAAATTATTTGGGTTTTTCTCAGTGCTTATCTCTGCACATACTATGTGAACAGAGGGGTCTGTGCAGTGGCTCCCAGAGGCGCTTGGCAGCTCTGCTCCTGTGTGATCATGTGGGATCCAGGGCACCTTCCTTGTCATGGTTCTATAGTGCCCGAGGTTGGAGAGCTTGCTAAAACACAGGCTGCTGAGCCCTTGCTTCTGTTCGAGAGTTCTGGGGTGGGGCCTGAGACTTCGCATTTCTGACAAGTTTCCAGGTGATGCTAAAGCTGCTGGTTCAGGGGTCACATGTCAAGTCACAGCCGGCATGTGCAGGGCTGGTGCTGCCCCACCTCTGTGCTGAGAGTCAGTCCAGGGCAGCCAGCTTTCGAGCAAGCAGGGCAGGCAAAAGTGGCTGACTTGGGTCAGAGGCCTGCAGCTGGCTGTGAGAGCGGCTGCGCAAGGTCATCTGTAGCTGGTCTAGAAAAGGGAAGGGTATGTTTTGGGAAAAAACTGGAGGTTTGCCATAATGGGCCCTAGGATAAAAAGAGAGGGGCCTGCGCTTGGTGGTGGGGACAGATGTGGAGAGACCCTATGATGTTCTGTAAACCAGAGTTACTGTGGTGGTTTACTCCAGGGGCAGCAGCCCAAGTCTGTGGTCATCAGCCAAAGCTGCCCAAGAGGCAAAGCGCTGAGCTGTGAAGCAAGACACAGCTGACTGGCTGCCCATCCCCTCTTGAAGATGGATAGCTGTTACCCCTCCCTGACTCTGCTCTTTACCCTGCTCCTCCTCCCAAGATGGCCTCTCATTCACTGTCCCCCTTGTTTTCTGGGTTGACCTGACATCTTCCCAGATCTCAAGCTTTCTTTTTCTAACTCATCCCCCAGGTATCTTGGCTCAAGAGAAAGCTGCGTGGCAAGAAGCGGTTGGTGATGACATTTTGCCTCTTGATGACCCTGTCCATGGTGGCCGTCACCCACTTCCCCCCACAGCATCCAGCCGCTGGCCTGGACCTTGGTCGCGTGGAGCCCCAGGTGGTAACTGGCAGCCCTGCCCTCCATAGCCGAGAGGCTCTAAGCATCAACCGGAGGCAGCGGGCAAGAAACCTGGGACTCTGGCAAGGCTGGGCCTTGCCCAGGAATTCCAGCCAGGTCTGTGGTCAGGAGCAAGGTCACAGAGAGAGGGTGGACAGAAGCAGGCTGCTCCTGGCAGGGAACAGCAAGCGCCCAGGGAGGATCAGAAGGGACATTGCTTTGAGACCCAGTACCCGGCATCCTGTGCTCCTGAGGAAGGATAAGACAAGGGATCCTGGAGCCAAGGACCTGGGCACCCCCTTGCATGATGGTCCCATCCAGGAGGCACCAAGTGAGAAAGGCACCCTCACAGGCCCCCCCACAGGACATGACACTGCAGCTTTAAGGAACTGGAGAGCTCCTGTTGGACCCACCCTGGGGCCGCATCCTGCAGAAGTCAGGGATCTGCCAGGAGCTGGGAAGGGAGCCCTGACTGGTGGGTGGCAAGCAGGGAATCCCGCTTTGAGCTCAGGGGCCCATGAGTGGCCTGGCTCTGTTGCGGAGCTGCAAGGATCCATCTGGTGTGAAACGCTCACCCCTGTCCTGTCAGGCGGCTCGAGGACAAGCGGGCCGGTTCCCCCATGGTTCACGGAGCCTGATGTGAAGGCCCTCCGGCTGTTGGCCCAGGGAGTGGTGGTGGGCAAAGCCAGGGTCCCGGGCCATGGACAGGTACTGCAGGTGGGCTTCTCCACCAAGGGCACCCCTCAGGACGTGACTCCTGGGCTCAGCCAGCTCTGCTTCCAGGGGCTCTGTGGCCTGATCAAGAGGCCTGGGGACCTGCCAGAGGTCCTGTCCTTCCACGTGGACCGTGTGCTGGGGCTCCGCCGGAGCCTTCCAGTTGTGGCCCGGCGCTTCCACAGCCCTGTGCTGCCCTATCGCTACACAGATGGCGGCGCGAGGCCCGTTATCTGGTGGGCACCAGATGTGCAGCACCTTGGCGACCCAGACGAGGACCAGAACTCCCTGGCACTGGGCTGGCTGCAGTACCAAGCCCTGCTGGCAAGTGGCTGCAGCTGGCCAGGCCAGGCCCCATGCCTCGGCATCCAACACACGGAGTGGGCTCGCCTGGCACTCTTCGACTTCCTGCTGCAGGTTGGTGGCTAGGTGGGGTGGGGGTGGACGGCAGCAGAGGTAAAGGATGGGGGAAACGGAAACAGAATTACCCACCTGAGGGTGAATGCTGACTCTCCTCCTGATCCCTGTCTTTTTTACCATCAAGCACCCATACTTGTTATTTTTGTTAGTTTAGCTGATTGCTAAACTATCCAGGAATACTATGACTGGTTGTGAAACTGGTATTCTTAAAAATGAAATTAGGGCCTCCCCGGTGGTACAGCGGTTGAGTGCTGGATTGCGAAGCTGCCCGCGGCCTCTGCAGCGCCGGTTCGATCCCCGGCTGCTCCCCGGCCACCAGAGGAGGGTCCCACATGGTGCGCAGACCTCTCCTGCCGCCCGCTGCTCCCCTCAGCAGTGTACTTCGGTCCTTCTGCCTGCTCTGCTCCCCGCTCTGACTCTGGTGAATTCTCTCACCCTCCCGCGCTTCTGACTGTATCCAGTGCTTGTATAGATAAATAAATAAATCTTTAAAAAAAAAATGAAGTTATACAAACTAACAAATAGGATAAATTAGAAGCAAGGGTAATACCCAGAACTTTCTAATTATTTGATTACATTTTACTATCATTTGCACATGTATAGTAAATACTCTGCAATGACAGCTCATCTCCTGCACATCTCTTGCGGGCTCCACACCCAGACATGCTCGTAGTTTGAAATTGGTCAGAGCGGGAGTATTTACACTATGGCAATCAGCACCTGCTACCCATCAGGACCCTCCCCTCCTCCGAGAGAGCTGGCCTTAAACATTTACCAGCTCATCACTATTTATACCACTATATCCTTGAAGGAAGGATCAAGAAGGATTCAAGGTGGTTTCATAGTTTAAAAAGGAAAGCGAGCCAGAAAGAAAAAGAAAAATACCGGATGGTCTCACTCATAGCAGGCATTTAAAAAAACCTAAATAAGGGACCAGGAAAAAGACTAATTATAATAAAATAAAAAAATCAACAAGCAACTATAAACCAGAGACACACTACAGGGGGGAGAGAAGGGAGTAGGATCAAAACAAGGGTGGTGGGAATTGTATGGGGACTATAACCAGATGAAAATGCATATATTGTGCAAAAATGAAAAATGATGTAAGAAATATATAAAATTAAAAAAACAAAGGAAAGCGAGAGGGAGAGAAAGGAGGGGGAGGGAGGGTGGGAGAGCCAGAGAGTGAAAGCGATGTTCTTGTCCAGTCTGGTGCTGAAGGATGAGCAGGAACTCCAGCACAGGCCAGCGAAGGTCCCTGCTGTGCCAGGGCGAGGCCTGGGCTTCCTGGGCATCCTAGGTATTGTGCAACCATCCTAGGCCGGGTAGGTTCACCATTGGTTCAGGCAGCTTAAAAGAGATCTTTGGAGCCCTTGGCATCATCCCCACAGGTTTTCAATAGGATGCAGGGAAATAAGGCAGCAGGGAGACAGCACTTGGGCTGTCTCTATGTGCTCTTTCCTCCCGGCTTTCTCTGGGATTGTCCTGTGGTCTCACTCTCCTAGCCGTTCCGCCGTAGCTGTTTCTCTGAGTGACTCCGCCCTTATATCCTCCACCTCCAGGCTAACGTGTGCCCACTTAGGCGTGTCCACACTGTACGCTAGGTGTCCACAATCAGGCACACATGCCCCACGCCCACACTCCCAGGCGTCTCCTGCATTCAAGGCTGCGGGTGATAGCCCCAGAGGCTAGTGGTGTGAAAGCCTGGCCATCTACATTTACCCTTCACTAGGGAAGTTGTTGTTGGGGCACAGGCCCTTCCAGGGCCTCCAGTCTGTCTCTCTGCTGGTTTGTGGGAGGAACATGGAGCCCAGAGGCCATCATGGGCTTTAGCATAGGGCGTGACCCCTATTCCCGGGCCACTTCCCTCTGTATGACATCATGGATTACTTTGCCTTTCTGCTTCACTTTTCTCGCCTCCAAAATGGCACTGGGTGTCCTGGCACCAGCCCCTTGGGGGTGATGATTTTTGTGTGTGGTAACTCCTAATTACTAGCACTCACCTCTGTGGGCTCGCCCTAGGCCCTAGAGCCAGCACTGCTGGCTGGGTGCGGGGGAATTAGCATCCAGGTACTGTGACCCCTCAGCCAGGTTGGGACGGAGGGGGTTCCCAGACCTAGAAGTTTCAGTACTGAGATCAGGACAGTCCTGGACATCCCCAGAAGGCTGATGACGCCCCCTCAGTGACTGCTGGAGCTGGCGTGGAAAGGCCCCGGTGCCCTGGCTGAGGAAGCTCTACAGTGCATGTTCTACGTGTCTCAGAGTCCCCCACCAGGACTGGACTCACCCACAGTGGTCACTGCTCCCCACCTCACTTCTCTGCTCTTAGCTTGTGTTTTTGGAGTTTGTTCACAAGCAAACTGCTGTTGCTTGGAGCCTTGTCTCAAGGACTGTCTCTGGGGGAGCCTGGTCTTCAGCAGATGGTAACGCCGACCTTGTGTGCTTTCTGCACATGAGATCGTCTGTGCATGTACTTAGTGGCACGCCTGGTGGGTGACACACGCTCAACAGTGAGCAGACGCTGTCCCCAACACTTTAAAGGAATCAAATCATCCAATTCTCATGGCAACTTTATGAGGAAGATACCACATTTATCGCAATTTTAAAGTTGAGAAATTGAGACCCAGGCAGGTTGAGTCACTTGCCGAGGTCAGTCGCTGATGGAGCTGGGACGCAGCCTGGATGTCTGACCTGAGAGCTCACCCTCTGAATCACAGTCACTGTTTCGCTGGCCATGAATGAGGGAGGCAAAGGGGCCGCTCGCAGGGCTGCCCGGGGCCCTGAGGTCAGAGGCACCTCCTTGCGGAGCCCCGTCCAGTGTGAGCACCACCTCCGGCTCTACACAGAGCCCCTCTGTCCTGCTCTGGGGTTGTGGTGTGGGACCCTCTTCAGCTGCCAGGCCCTGCTGTGGGGACGGAAGTCTCAGCAGCCAAAGCACACGCTGGTTGGGTGTGTGGTCAGATGCCACTTGGCTGGCCTCGTGCCACCTCTTCCCTGACTTGCTGGACCCAGGTCAAGTCAAATACCCCTGTCTGGCTGCTGCTGTCTTCCTAGAAACCACTGGCAAGTCAGCTAGAGGCGGGGCTTCAGCATGTGGGTTTCCTGGCATAGGAACTCCAGGTACCTCTGCTTAGGGGGGAGCAGCACCAACCCCAGGTGCAGCCCTTTTCGGGCTGCTTGCTTGTTGGCACTGATTTATCCAATAGAAACCCTGTTTTTCTGTTTGGGGATCCCAGCACACCATTTACCCAGGCACAATGTACATAACCACCGCACATAACGCCCCCTCCACACACACACACGTGCCACCTACCCTATGTTTCACAAGTCCCATGGAACAGTTTTAGTGACTGCTGAAATAATGCATGTAACAAATCTGCCCAAAACTCTATGGCTTAGAACACCAGCTCTTTATTTTTTGAATCGGGGTCTATAGAAGCTGAGATCAACTGACCATGGCTCCAAGCTATGGGTTGGCTTCAGGGCTGCTGTTCATTTCTCACTCTTAGGCCCAGGCTGAGGGAGCAGCACTGTCTGGGCCAAGCTCTTCTCGTGGGGAATGGAAACCGCCCAAGAGCTCAACCAAACTGAGTCATATACCTGGGTGGGCCTGACCTAATCAGGCATGTGTTTCAAAGAGAGAATCTCCTGTTGGCCTCAAGGGAGAAAGTAAACAGCAATGCTATGCACTGCTGGCGGGAAGGGAAGGCCTCTAGGAGGACCAGAGATCCCGGGTCCTTGTCCCCCAACTACAGACGTGCCCAAACCTGGAGGAGGTTGTAAGAGGAGCCCACTACAGCTGGGATGTGGCCCTGGTGACACCTGGGGTTCGCCCTGGTGAGACCCTGAGAAGAGGGTTCAGTGGGATGTGAAGGACTTCTGACCCAAGAGACCTGTGAGATCATGTGTTCTTTTCAGCCCCTAAATTCCTGGGCATTCATTATGTAGCAATAGAAAAGGGATCAATGAGGCTGGGCAGGGGCCCAAGTGCAAACCCTCTGGAGCTCGGGTGCAGGTGCGATCCCGCAGCACTGCCTGGACGTGCCTTCTCTCTCCTCCTCTTCCCCAGTCCTGTTTATCTCTGTTGGTTGGATTGTTGGCCTTTTTTCGTAATGATTTTTTTTTAATAAATCTTTTTTTTAAGATTTATTTCTATTTATTTATACAAGCACTGGGTACAGTCAGAAGCGCGGGAGGGTGAGAGAATTCACCAGAGCCAGAGTGGGGAGCAGAGCAGGCAGAAGGACCGAAGTACACTGCTGAGGGGAGCAGCGGGTGAGGCAGGAGAGGTCTGCCAAGCCATGTGGGACCCTCGCCGGCTGGCCAGGATAGAACTGGCGCTGCAGAGGCTGTGGACAGCTTCACATCGCAGCGCTCAACCACCTGCACCACAAGGGAAGGCCCTTTTTTCATAATGATTTTAAGAGCTTTTGATAGATGAAAGAAATTTGGCTTTTGTTTTCATTATATTGTGATCATTTCTCTCAGGTTCGATTTTTTTTTTCTAAAGATTTATTTATTCATGCATACAAGGACCGGGGTGCAGGCCAGATGTGCAGGAGGGTGAGAGGATTCACCAGAGACAGAGCGGGGAACAGAACAGGTAGACTGACTGAAATACACTGCTGAGGGGAGCAGCGGGTGAAATAGTAGAGGTCTGCCACGCCATGTGGGATTCTCACTGGCCAGCTGGGATCGAACCCGCGCTGCAGAGGCTTGCGCACAGGCTTCACAGCGCTGCACTCTACCGCCTGCGCTATCAGCAGAGGCCCAGGTTCAATTATTATTAAACTTTGTAGTCCTTTTGCTGTGCAGAAATTTAGAAAAATTTTGTGTTGTTAAATATTATCAAGCTTTTCTTTTATGACTTCTAGGTTAGTATGTTCCTTTTTATTTAATTTATTTATTTATTTATTTTTAAACATTATTTATTTATACAAGCACTGGGTACAGTCAGAAGCACGGGAGGGTGAGAGAATTCACCAGAGCCAGAGCAGAGCAGGCAGAAGGACCGAAGTACACTGCTGAGGGGAGCAGCGGGCGGCAGGAGAGGTCTGCGTGCCATGTGGGACCCTCCTCCGGTGGCTGGGGAGCAGCCGGGGATCGAACCGGCGCTGCAGAGGCTGCGGGCAGCATCGCAACCCAGCGCTCAACCGCTGCGCCACTGGGGAGGCCCAGTATGTTCCTTTTTAAAAGGCGATCCTCACTTAAAGGTTATTTAAAACGTTCTCTTATGTGTTTTCAAATATCTTTGACCCATCTGGAAGTTTCATGGAGAAAGAGATATGGTAAAAAACGATTTTTTTTTTGGATCGCAACCCAAATATCCCAGCACCATTTGTTGAGTAATTAAGTCTTTGCCCCGATCTGAATTGCTGTCTTTGCTATATAGCCAATTTCCATATGTATGTAGGTCTATTTCTGGGCTCTTTTCTGTTTCAGTGAAGGGTCTATTTATATGCCTGAATAACACTGTTTGAATTATTGTGCGTTATAGTCAATGTTAATAACTAGGAGGGGTTGATCATTCTCTTTGCTCTTTTTAGAATTTCTGATATTCTTGCATATTAGATTTCAAACATGCAAAAATATGCTCTTCTCATCTGAAATTTGCAGTCAACTTGTTACTTCTTCCCAAGTACTTTCAGCATTTTATTGGAATCAAATTAAATTTGTGTGGACTAATGTAGAAAGACTGTACATCTTAAAAATATAGAGTCATTCTAGCCAAGAATAGACTGTCTTTCCATTTATTCATGTTCCTCAGAAAGGATCTGGATGCTTTCTTTAGCTGGGTTATTCCTGGGTATTTCACCTTCTGTGGCCATTAAAAATGGGATCTTTCTTCCCATCAGATGTTCTGGTTGGTAGCTTCGGCCTGTGCAAGGCTATTCCTTCTGTGTTGTAATTAGGTTACCAGAGACCTGCTAACCTGGCATTACTGCTTCTCACAGTTGCCTGGCTTATCCATCACTTCATCTGAATGAATGCACCTTGTTTCTCATGGCCTCTTCTTTCTCTCACTCACTTTATTTGCTGGAGCCCCTCCAGAGCAACAGTAAATAATAATGGGGTGATGGACATGAAGTGTTTCTTATAGACCTGGGAAAATTTCTAGTGTTTCACCATTAAATGCCATGCTGGCTTTTGGCTGAAGATATGCAGAAGTCTTCATTATTCCTGCTTTGTTTCATTTTTATTGTCAGGAATGGATGTAAAATTTCCCCAAATGCCTTTCCTAACTGTGGAGGCGATCACAGTACCTCTCCCCTTTTGTGTTAATATGAAAGGTGCTCTAGTGGAGACCCACAAGGCTTTCTGGGTCGGGATCGCATTTGTTTGGTGGGGTCACCTTTCAGTGGCTGCTAGTTTTGTGTTGCTGTTAACGTTTTAGAGTGTTCTCCAGATGTCTTTGTAGCTAAGCTCTGGTTCTTCTCAACCATCTCCTCAAAGCCCACCTGCTGGTCTGTCCACCCACATCCTGAGCTGGTGCTGTGGCTTCTGGCCTGAGGCTTGGGGCAGATGACCCCTGCACAAAACCACTATGGCAGCCTCCCAAGTGGCTCCTGCTGAGGGTGGGTGTGTGTAAAAGCCCAGAATACTCTCCCTTGCTAAGTTCAAGAACAATATGGAGAAACATGGTGGGGGGGCGCGTGATAATAACTCGGATGGATTTAACACCAGTTACAGGGCAGGGAGTCTCTCGTGCACACGGGGGCTCTGTCCTCAGCTGTTTCAGTGGCCACTTGTCCGGGTAGCCTCGGAGGACACAGGGCTGCATCGGGTCCAGCTGGCTGGTCTGTGTTCCTTCCACACGGAGGCCTGAGGCCATCACCGGCCACCCCAGTTTCAGTGGTCAGTGCGTAGTGCCTCAGCCCTGCGGGCCTGGCCGGGGAGGAGGGCGTGTCCTCATTTGTTCAATCAGGCCAAAGGGAAGGGCTTTCGCCTGTGGTTGGGGAGAGGGACTCTCTCTCTCCTTCTGCCTTGCTTCCCCTCCTTCCACCTCCTGCCCTCACCCCCTCACTACCTCTCTCTCTCCAGCTCTCCATGCCTTCTCCCTCTCTCCTCCCCCTCCCCCACTCCCCTCTAAACATGAGCTAGGAAATTGACCCATGGCAGCCACCTGCTGCTTCCTGAGACAAGGCTGGATGTTCTTGACATTGTGAGTGATAAAGTGGGGAGCAAAAGGAAACCCTAGTTATCTGACAGCTAGGAGCTGATAAGGCTCCCCAGCCTCCCTCTCGACTACTCCACCTCTGATTTTAGGCCTTCTCTCTCCACCTGTTTGTCTTGGATGCACACAGCAGGTAACATTTGAGTAGATCAGGGCCAGCAGCGGATCCTCCTACTTCATTCCTAACCTGCAGGCAGGCCTCTCCCTTCTGAAGGGGCCACTGTAAGCGGGAGAGTGGGAATGTGGTGAGAGGCCTCTGTTCCACTCAGAGTGTTGTGTTGCCTGCAGCTGTGTGTGTTGGGGGTGGGGCACACCACACTAGAGAGTCCCCACTTCAGGCATCGGTGTAGAATGAGCCCGTAGGGGGAATGCCCACTCTTCCCCAGCGCTGATGCAGCCGACTGACGGGAGAAAGCTGCCCACCCAGCGGGAGCTGTGTAAATGCTCATAAGGGAGGGGTCTCTGATGCCGCATTTGCTGCTTCGAGGAAAAGTGGACTTATGTGCAACTCCCCGGGGAGATAGAGGGTCAGCATTGCAGCCCAATGGCCTCGGAGCCAGGGGGCAGCGCTGTAGATTAAGCAGCTGGCCTGAGGTGTGCAGGGCAAGCCGACCAGTGTGAGCACCACTGTGGACCCAGCGTGTGGCCCTGTGGTTCAGGCAGGCCCCATGCCACATGTCTGAGGAAAATGGGTGTCCCCTCAGGTTCACGACCGCCTGGATCGCTATTGCTGCGGCTTTGAGCCAGAGCCCTCAGACCCCTGTGTGGAAGAGAGGCTCCGAGAGAAGTGCCGGAACCCAGGCGAGCTGCGGCTGGTCCACATCCTGGTACGTTCCCTGGTCCCCCAGACCCGGGGCTTCCTGTCTCCTTCAGATAATGCTGTTGGCAAATTTCAGGGATCATATGATGCTGGGGTTCCCCAGTCTTGTTTCCACTGATACCCCTGTCCCTGAGACTCCAGGGAACCCCTGGGGCTCCTGGAAGCAGAGTTTGAGAATATTGTCTAGTCAATGTCCCCATTGTGCCAGTAAATGAGGAAACTGTGTCTGGAGCAGGACGGGGGTTTCCAAGGCTGGGTGGTGGCAGAGACAGGCTCACACTAAGGACCCTGATGGCTCAAAGGCTGGTGATGATCAGCCTCCTGTTAAAACTAGAGCCCAGGTGGGAAGCGATGTGCTGAGGCCCTCAGGAGGGGCTGGTGTGGCAGAACAGCCTTGTCTCCTGCAGGGGGTAAGGTGCCCCCTGTGGAGGGCTTCTCTTCTTCCCCAGAGAGACCTAGTGTCCTCACTGCCTCACTCTGACCAGATGCCCTTGGAGGGTAGTAGCAGGGTGGATGGTGGAACTGACAGCTTAGAGCCCCCCAAACCCCTTAACCCCATGGAGGCCAGCTAGGCTGCCCCCTTACCCGCCTGCCTCTTCCCTCTTCTTCCCGGAGGTCCGGAGCAGCGATCCATCGCGCCTGGTCTACATCGATAATGCTGGGAACTTGCAGCACCCCGAGGACAAGCTGAACTTTCGGCTACTGGAGGGCATAGATGGGTAAGAGTCAGGGGTTGGGAAGAGGTTCAGGGACCGTGACTCGATGGCCCTGCTATATGCTGGGGGACCTTGAACCAAGGGCCCTAAGCAGTCCATCAGAAAAACGTGATCACATTTGAGCTTCAGGCTGGGGCCAAGTGCCTGGGAAAGCTGAGAGGGCATACAGCCATCAGGCCCTCAACAGCTAGTTGAAGTGCCTTCCCTCTCCCCTAACCCCCATAATATCCAGAGCCCTCCCGGCCCCACAGAACACCAACTACCGTGATAGGGCACAGGACTGGGCTGGGGAGCTTCCCCTGCTCTGCTCTCACAGGCAGCTCAGCCTTCCTACGCGCTCTCTGCCGTATGCCAAGCAGAGCTGCAGGCATTTCATCCAGGAAAGGACAGCTGATTCACCTGGCTACTCATGGGATGGGGCCCATCTGAGAACTCTATCCCTGCTTTCACAGCAGAGCAGGTGGAATGTCCTCTGATAACTGGTCAGCAGGCATGAGCCCTCGGGATGTCACCAGGGGTGTTGAGCTGAGGCCGGCCAGCTAGCTTTGTTTTTCACTGGAGCATTCTGAGACCACTTTTGTCTTTCCTTTCTGTTATGGGGCTGGGGGGGACCTTCCTCCAGGTTTCCTGAGTCTGCTGTGAAGGTTCTGGAGTCGGGGTGTCTACAGAACATGCTGCTCAAGTCCCTGCAGATGGACCCGGTGTTCTGGGAAAGCCAAGGTGGGGCCCAGGGGCTGAAGCGGGTTCTGCAGACCCTGGAGCAGCGGGGGCAGGTCCTGCTGCATCACATCCGGAAGAACAACCTGACAGTCTTCAGGGATGAGGACCTGTGAGTCCCCCCGCTGCCTAGGTGGGGCTCTCATTGTGCTGGGGGTACCCTCATTGCATGACCTGAGTGGATGAGCCTTGATCCTAACAGCCACATTTCTTGGGTTCACCCATCTTGAAGACACATGGGAAAAGCCAGAACTGGGAAGACAGCATGGAAGCTATGGGATGTGTCTCCTGCTTGGGATGGTGGAGGCGGTGTTGGTTATTGGGCTTCTATCTCTCTACATTCCTTTCTGCCTTCTCAACCCTGGCTATTTACTCCCTTGCACCAATAAATACATATAAGAATGTCCTGTGAACTGCTCCAGACACTGTAAAATTGTGCATCCCACCTGCATACAGAGCTGGACTGCCGTGTGTGTGTGAGTCCGTGGAAGTACACAGGTGTATGTGGTATGTGTGTATGTCTGCACTCACACATGTACATGCCTACACAAGTGCATGCCTGCACCTATACATGAAATGATCCCAATAACGGACATTCATAGAATTGCACTTGGTCCAGAGACTGGCTGAAAGTGGACTCAGATCTAAGAAATGAAACATTAGGGCCTCCCCTGGTGGCGCAGCGGTTGAGCGCTGGGTTGCGAGGCTGCCCGCAGCCTCTGCAGTGCGGCCACCGGCGAGGGTCCCACAAAAAAAAAAAAAGAAATGAAACATTAATCAGAGTTAGGCTCTCACATCAGGATGAGATTCATTCTATTTTTGTGACTTAATCTGCCCTTTGAAAAACAGAACTAACATTGTCTCACTGCTGAGACGGGATGTGCAATTGGATGAAGGCCGGACATCTATGATAGTCCACAACCTCTGCATCCTCCAGCCCAGCCCACAATATAGCTATCAGCCCAGGATGGTCAAGATTTGGTTAGTAACTGCCAGTTTCACTATTCCTTGTTTCCATTTTCAACTCAGGACCAACCAGAGAAGCCAAATTGGCTCCCCTAGCCACTTACATAAGGTACCCCACTGCCTCTCCCTTATGCCCACAACCCCAGTCAGGGCACACCTGACTCTTCGGGCTGCCTCTGAGTCTCTGCTGAAGGCAGGTGATAGTGCGGACTCTCTTGCTATAGCAAACTCTGAATCAACAGCCTTTATTTGGGGTGATCTCATTTGGGAGTCTTTATAGCCATACCACGTGCCCATGAAATTTAAGCAAGGGAGGCAAGTAGAACTGTCCCCAGCCAGGTAGGTCTGGCCACTACCTGTGAAAGGAGTGGGGGCATCTTCCCAGTGGTAGTTTGGCATGAGAGAAAGACAGAGAGAGAAAGAGAGAGAGAGAGAGAAAGAGAGAGAGAGAGAAAGAGAGAGATAAAGGATCCACACTTGTCCTGATGTGAACACATGGGCAGACACAGGCCTCTTCTTCCCTCTAGGGCTCAGGAAGACTCCTGGCCCACTCTGCCCAGGTCTGCAGAACTCCAGGATGAATGGAGCCTTAGCTCCAGCTGAAAACAGCTCCAATTTGGGGTGCAGTCTCTCAATGTGATGTTCTCCAACTAGTGTCCCTACCTTCTGTCTCAAAACAGCAATTATATAAATCTACATCCTTAACATTTTCTATCTTATTTTCAGAACTGCTCTAGGAATAACTGCAGCGAGAGAGTACTGGATTCAAAAGCAGAGGCTCTGGGGTCAGAACTGGGCTTGGCAACTCAATAGTTAGCATCTGACAAATGTTTACCCACTAACACTAATGACTGGACCAGGTGCTATGATAGTGGTTTACAGTGATGAAAACATTTAATCTCACCACAACACAAAGGGTAGGTGTGATTATTATCTCCATTTTACAGAAGAGGCACAGAGTGGTTCAGTGACTTGCCCAAGGTAACCCAGCTTGCAGGTAGAAGGACCAGAATTCAAACCCAGGCAAGACCTGTGCTAGTAAGTCTTGAGTCCAAGACCACCAGTGAAGATGCTCCTTCCACTCTCTCCGCTGCTCTGACAACTCTCCTTCCTGATCCTGTTGGACTCAGAGTTGGGAACAAAGGGCCAGTTCCCCGGAATGTGTAAGAGCTAACTGCAGCCCTCTGCCAAGCATACTCACATGCACTTGGCTTCATGCCTGTTGCTCTGCGCTCGTTAAAGTCTGCTCAGTCTATAAACTGTCTTTCCTGCAAACTTGAAACTTCATCCATTTTTTATCATTTTGAAAAACAGTCTCAGTGCAAGCTACTGGCCCTATGCCTCCCCCAGTCGTTACCTCTGGAATGAGAGCAATGTGCCAAGTGAAGCAAACAGACAGGGATGGCAGATCAGGGTATTTCTATCAACTTTCAAGAAGCTGTGAGGACAGGGTCTGGGGTAGGTCTGCAGAGTAGGGGGGCTCAAGGCAAGTCAGCCTCAAGAAAGACTGTCGAGGCCATCACACTCACCAGCCGCCGTGCTGCTTGACCCTATTCCGCTGCACCCCACCGTAAAAGGGCTATTCCAAAGAATGATAGTCTTTCCAAGAGGGACAGGCTGATGATAGTAACATAGCTTCACAACTCTCTAGATCCAATTCCAACAATCACCAAAGTTCTGAAAAGCAAAAGCTTTTTCATATGTTCAGTGCCAAAACTCATGTCCTACAGGCAAGACTATTCATACATTTCACGGCAGGAACACCAATGTTTGTGAATTGGGTGTAACCTCAGCTCTGAGTATTGCATAACTCACGGTATATGCTCTGTTACCTTTCTATATCTGAAAAACCCAGAATTCTGAATCACATCTGGCCTCTGAGATTTGAATATGGGATTCCAGATCTGCAATTACTAATTTATTACAAGCCAGGCATGGTGCCAAGGGCTTTACACAGACGATCTGTGAATGCCTTACAACCGCAGCTGTGCGAGCCTCACTGTACAGATGAACAACCTCAGTTGGGGGGGGGAGTGACTTGACTGAGGAAGCGCAGATGGAGACAGCAGAGCCCCCCCAAACAGGAGCGTTGCCTTATGTTCCTTGTGGCAAACCTCTGTAACAACTCCATGACGTAGGCATTATTGCTCCCATTTGATATTTAAGGAAATCAAGGCTGAGAGAGGCTGAGTTCCTTGCCCAAGGTCTCAGAGCAGGTAATTGGTGGAACTGGGATTTAAGCCCAAGCCCTTAGCACTCCAAAGCCCTTGCTCCAACCGCTATGGTGTTGTTGCTTCCTTCTTCCATTTTCATACATTCAGTACATCTTACTGTGCAGATTTCCCAGAGAGCACAGGATTTGGAAGGAATTAGAGGCTGTGTGCTTAGATGGCCACATGTTCCAGATGTTTGGAGACAGGCCCAGTTTTACATATTCTGCCTGGTTGTCAGAGCGGGTGTATTGGTTCCGCTTGGTCAGCAAGGCCTCTGTAACTGAGACTACTACAGATGCACAAGGGCAGCACTGTGGGCCAGGGAAGAGCTCTGCCTGTGTGGGGCAGGGTACAAGGAAGCGCCTGGGGTGTCTTCGGGAACATCATGGGCAGTCCCCTTGGCCTGGCCTTGGGGATGAATGGGAGGTCCCCACCTGGGCTACCTGTCTGGCTCAGGTAGTCACTTCCTGCAATCCCCACTCCTGGACCACCACAGCCAAGGGACATCCAGATGTCTGGACTTTTGGCTCCGCCAGTCTGTCTCTCCCTGGACACTGGGTTTTCTCCCCTGCAACTACTCCTACTCTGCCCAAGACCCCTTCAAGTCTACCCAATGGGAGGAGGTTCAAGGAGCAAGACACAGATTTCTTATGATGACTGAGGGCAGTATAGTTCTTTCTCAGTCCCTCTCCTCTTCCTCCTTGCATTGCCAACCCTCCCTCCTGGCCCCTATCCCCTACTCCAGCCCCCCCAGCAGTATGTGACCCAAGTCTATCTGGAGTTCTTGTTAGTACTGGTCAGGGGATGTCCATTCAGGGGCCTGGAGCCTGGTAGGGCATTTGGGTATGGGGGTTGGAGTCTCTCAGAGTGGGTAAGCGAGTGCTGAGGCAACTTCTGGTTTTGTCCAGCTGACCAGAGAAGAATCACTGAGTCTCCAGGAAAGTAAGGAGACGAAAGGCATCTCTAGGTAGAAACTCGGGTTCTGCAGAGGTCACACAACAGCAGAGGCAAACTCAGTCTTTGTAGGAAAACAATGCAGTGGTGGTGGGTCCTAGGGACTTGGAAGCTGACAGGCTGGGAGGGTGCTGGATTGCAGGACTGTACACTTGGGAGGCCTTAGGGCAGAGGAGGCAACACCTGGCAAGGAGATGAAGGAAAATGTAGGAAGGAATGCTATCGTGGTTGGCGCAGGGGCTCTGGACTCAAAAGGGCTTGGGCTTAAATCCTGGTTCCACCAGGTGCCTGCTCCGTGATCTTGCATGGGGGACTCAGCAAAATGCCCTTGAGACCCATGCAGGTGGCTGGCGGTATGGATAGTCCACTCCTTCTTGTTACTGAGTGGTAGTTCATGGATGTGCCAGAGTTTATGATTTACCCACTGGAGAAAATCAGGGTCATTTCTAGTTTTTGGCTAATAGAAATGAAGCTGCTCTGAACATTCATGTTCATGTTTTTGTGTGAACATAATTTCTTAATTTTCATTTCTCTGGGGTAAATGTCCAGGAATGAAATTTCATGCTAATATAGTAAGTTTGTGCTTAATTTCTTAGGAAACTGCCAAACTATTCCCAGAGGAGTTTCACATTCCCACCAGCCTGTATATATGAGATCCAGCTTCCCTGTAGCTTTGCTGGCACTTGGTATCATCACTGCTTCCTACTGTAGCTGCAGCAGGATGGAGTTTCCTGTCCACCAGTGTCTCCATTTTCAATTGGAAAATGGGAGCACTGAGGTTATTAACGTGATGGTCATACAGCAAATCTCTCTCTCCCCCCACCCATTTTACATTAATTGGAAAAAAGTTATTGTTGCCAAATATTGCATGGTGTTGGGGGACAGTTATCTGAAATCCCAGTTTCATTGGGCATCCTTTATTTTTGTTTTCAGTCTTAACAGCCTTAGAAAAAGGCTGGCCTGCCTGAATGTGAGAAGTCTGATGGCCCAGCATTCAGAAACAGATCATTTGATTATTTCCACTAGATTTAAGTGCCTATAAGACAAGGACTATATCTTTTTGTAGTAGTTTCACTTTTCATTCTCAAGATTCAATAGAGAATTTTCTCAACTTCTAAATTAGTTGTTTTGAGAAATGAGAATACTTTGGTAAAGAACACACAATTTTCTGACTGTGTTGCTAGTCAGAATGGGGGGGAGCATTAAGATGTTAATCAGAATTCACTTAGTTTTAAAAAATTCATGTATTAAAAAAATGTAAACAGGAATCACAGGAGGCTTAAGCTGACATCCCCTCAAGGCCACTCAGTGCCCACGCACTCTGCCACACAAGCTCCGAGGCCCTTTCCCTTGGATATGCATCTGGAAGTGGAGGTGCTGAGGTCTAGGGCAGCTGGTTTTCCAAGTGGTTACACCATCTTCAATGTCTGAGACTTTGGGTGAGCTGAATCTTTAGTGGAATATGGTGGCAGTTTGAGATGGTGGCAGATGGTGGCTACAGTTAAGGAGAAAGATATTCCGGGTAAAAAGGGGGTCATACAGGCTTATGATGATGAGATTAAGGCTTTCGAATCTGCGCTGTATCCACCGTGAATTGGCCTGCAGCCACATTCCATGGTGGCGACACTCAGTGTATCCTATCATCTCAGTGATAGGACACTTGTCTAAGGACAGCTTCCGCCCAACACCTGATCAGTCTGAGCTGAGCTGTGCCCTGAGGGTCTGGCCCTTCCACCTCCCCTCTCTCTCCTCCACAAGGGTCAGAACTGCATGGCGGCCTCCCTACGAAGAGAGGCCAAAACTCTTCCTGCTCTGAGGACAATTCTGATCATGGGTTAACTTTCTGGCTGTTTCCATGGCAGCCAGATGAAGGATACATGTTACACATGGTATTCATCAAAACTGCTGATGGTAAAACAATCTCCAGGAGATAAACTACATCTCCCTGGAGGACAATGAATGAACCACCAGGTAGGACCCCACACAGCTACAGGATCTGCTAAGTAATAATTCTTATAACTAGCCCTGCCTTTAGGGACCCTGGGGAACTGATTGTTGTTTAAAAGGTAATGGTTTCTATGGGGTTTCTAAATCCAAGTGCCCCCCCCAACCCCTAACCACCACCTATGTGGGTCTTGTCTCCTTGCCCTGGAGAAAACATCCGGGGTAAAGAGTAAGAGAATGGCCCCCAGACTAGCGTGACGTCTCCCCCTGTGGAGGAACTTGCTCGACGCTGCCCTGCTGAGCATCCTGTCCTATATTCATCTGAGAGCATCGACGCCAGGTGTGGTCTCTGGTGGTTCTGAGTCTGAATGTTCAGTCAAGCCAAGGAAGGCCACTGTGGAGACAGCCCTTCCTCACTGGGGCCCTCTCCCACTGACTTCCATGCTTTTATTCCCCTGAAATGGAAATGTGGTGCTTACCCAGCTGGCTGGAAAGCCCAAACAGCTTGCCTATCTTCACAGTCCTCGACCCACTCCCAATGTCGCATTTTGGTTGACAATAAGGATTAAAGGGCATCTGACTACTAGCCCCCCTTCCTACTGTCCAATAAAGACTTGACCAAGATGTCCACAACCATTTAATGGAGGTTCCAAACACACCCTTCACTGGGAAACAGGGGAACTTCATGATGACGGAAGCTGAGGAACCACCACCCAAGCCGCCACGATTACTCCCAATTTCCAGATCTGGATACCGGCCAGGAAGACTCACTAGGGAACAGCACCACTCAGCCAAAGAGATCCCTTGGGATTCTTTCCTCTTCCTTTTCTTCCTCCTCCCTCTAAGGACTGCCTCCACGGGTAAGGATGGTCAGACTGGGAAAAGGGGTGGGGTCCCACTGCACCAGTGCGAAGAGGACTGCTGCGAACCCCATACTCCAGATGCAATAAGGAGTCAGGAGGCACAGGTCGGGACAGGTCTGCTCAATAAATAAAGGAATCAATCCCAGAAGCCACCCCAGGGAGCTAGCAGGGCCCAGGGACCTTCCTAAGGTCTGGCCACAGCGCCCTCGCTACGTATTGCACACCAGCACATCTGCAAAGGGTCCCTGGAGGATCTTGTTGAAAATGCAGCGGACCCACACCAGGTAGGTAGTAAAGGGCTTGATGTTCTCCGTGAAGGTGTGGTTCTGCAGGGCCAGGATGTAAGGCACATAGGTGTTCTCCCCCTGCTCCTGGAGCCACACCTCGTACTTCACCTCCCTCACCTTCAGGTACTTGAGGTTCCATGGGATCTGCCAGGACACGGTGAGGCGGGCCTCAGAGGCGCCCTGCACCGACGCCTGGCACCGGGCTTCCCGCACCTTGCCTGGGTAGAGGCCAACTGTCCACTTCTGCTTTCGTGGCCCTGGCTGGCCCTTCACCACACGCCGTATGGTTTGGATGAGGGATGGGATGTCCACCTTGGTGTCCTGGTAGATTCGAAAGAGCCACTCTGGGTTCCGGCAGCAGAGATGTCTCGGGACCTCACGGCTTTGTAGGATACGGGCCTGCTCGGCCCGGTCTAGGTGTGTGATGCCCCCCTGGTCCCAGGGCCGCTCAGGGTGCGTGACTGTGTTCTCTGGCATCATGTTCCGCCAGGCTACATACTGGAGGTCCATGCCAGGCAGCATGGCCAGTGTCTTATATGGGGTGTAGTGGTCAGGATTGACAGCATATGGGAATAGCTCAACTACAGTTGCCCCTCGGGGCAGAAAGAGGGCAGTGACCAGCTGGGCCCCGTGCATGCTGACCAGCATGGAGGCATTGCTGACCAGCCGCACAACATCAGCAAAGGTGTGATCTTCCAAGGACACCGTCACGGTCTTCATTTGGAACTCCTGGGCCAGAGCCAGCAGCAGCTCTGCCTCATTCAGGATGAGTCTGTTCTGGGTACGGCTGAAAACCAGAATGTACTCCTCGCCTAGGGGGACCCCTGAACGGCTCACATTCAGTTTTTCCATCATGAACCGTGCAAACTGCCGGATTTCATTGCCAGAGATGAGGATGTTGGCCTTTGGGCCCTGGGGCTGGACGAAGCCATACTGGTACCAGGTGGTGACCTTGGAGAGGCCCACAAAAGCATGGGAGAAGCACAGCAGCCGGCCCAGGGTCTTCAGCTGTGCCCGCAGGAGTGGCTGCTTGGGGCTGAGAAGCTTGTAGAGGTCAAAGTGTGCGCCCTCACCCCAGCCCTCCATGAAGAAGAGCCGAGCCTCGTGGGCCAGGCCTGGGAACTGCCGCAGGGTATAGAAGAGTGGCAGCAGGTCGTCATGGAATACGTGCATGAGGTTGTCGGGGTTGAAGCGGTTGGCGATAAGGGCCACGTCAGGCACAAACACAGGCTTGGGCATGAAGCGCAGGGCAGCGGCCGGCAACTCCACAAAGTTGAAGTACTGGGTGTTGTGGTCCTCCACGGTGGACAGGTCGAGCAGGGCCGGCTGGAAGCGCCGGGAGCCCAGATTGGGCAGCATGACAGACGTGTTGCCGTGGAAGAAGATGAACTCCTCCGCCTCATTGGAGTAGCAGAGCCACTTGAAGCGGCAGATACGGTCGGTGTGCGTGCGGCCCGTGCACACCATGTGTGTGCCACCTTCCATCAGGATCTGTAGGGCTTTTGGGTAGTCGATCCTCAGCATTGGGGTGGGCTCTGGGGCCTGTCGGCCAAGGGCCAGCTCCTCCTCCAGAGTGGCTGCATGTTCACGTAGCCGCACATGCTTCCACAGGACAGCTGCCAGTATGGACACCAGGAGGGCATTGAACACGGCTGAGAGGTGCATCCTAATGCCACTGTGGGGCGCTAGTGAGATGATGGCCGCTGGGAAGTGCCACAGGCCTGGTGGGTTTTACCCATCCCTACAGGCTCACGGAGGATTAGCAAAAGCCTGTAGGAAGAGAGAAGGAAAAAGAAGAGGTGTTGGTCTTTCTGGAGTCATTTCAAACCCTCACTGTGGCCCAGGCACTGTGCTAGGCTCAGTGTGCCGGCTCCAGCACGGGATCTTCCTGCCATGCTGCATGTGCACAGGAATGACAGATTAGGATGTTTATGTTCTGATTCTTCTGTCAGCTCCATTCTTCTAGCCAGTGATTTTTATTGTTTGGTTACTGCAGTTTTCAGTTCTAACATTTCCATTTAGTTGTTCTTTATATCTTTTCTTTCTTTGCTGAGACTAATCCTGGGCATTTTGTGTATTATGTTATAGTACTCTGGGAAGTCCTAGCCTCCCATAAGCCCCAATAGGGATGGGAGAGAGCTGCAGGGGTGGGACCTGGTTATTACAAGGTGAAGGTAGATGTATAGGCTATTCACTCTGCCTTTCCTGAAACTAGGAGGGGGACATAGGGAAGCAATTCCCTGGTGTTTTACAGGAAGATGGTGTTATTGTCAAAAAGGTTCCTGCTTTGCTAGGCGGCTTCTTTCCAGTTCTTTGCCAAGAGAGACAAAGCTTTCCTTGTGACATTTTTTTTGGATCTACACCTGTTTGCATTTCTGGGTTTCCAGCTCCTCTTGCATCCTGTTTGGGATACAAAGAAGGTGAAAAGGAAACCCAAGAACTGTCACATCACATCCTAAACTATCCTGGCTCTGAACCCCCGAGTCCCTGGCTCTGAGTCTGAGACAGCTTCCAAAAGAGGGTGTATGTGGCCTGGGAAAGTGAAAAAAGAGTCAGATAGACTCAGGCTCAAACCCCAGCTCCATGACTTACTGTGTATCTCTTCTGAACTCAGACTTCCTGTTAGCAAAAATAAGGGTACAGCACCTACCTCACAGGGTGGTGGAGAAGGTCAGAAATGGCTGATTAACTGAACCTTATAAAGATTGCTCTTCACCTCTAAAGTAGGAAAAAAGCAATTAGTTCAACCTAATTGCTGGACACTTCAGCTGAAGTGTCTAGCAACAAGGAAAGGAAAAAAATTCAAGGCATCAGATGGTTAATAAAGGGCCAGTGGGATGTACAGTGAAATGTGGCATTTTAAACATTTTGGACACACTTGGCTGCCTTCACTGGACTCAAAGCAAAAGATGATCAGTGCTAAGGCAGGATCTGTCACTTTTCATCACAGTCATTTGAGAAAAAGGATTTTAAGTCTAAGCAGAAAATTTCAACCAAAGTTGGACACTGCGACCAGATTGATGTTGTCACAAGTGGTGCCCTGGGCCATAGTCTGTCATCAACCTCTGCAACTTGGCCCCCGGTTCAAGTGCACTGCATTTATAAGTGACAGAGAGGACACTGTTTTTGCTCAACATCCATGCCTCCCTCATCTCTTCCTAATACCAAGCCACGTTTGTCCAGATAGCCACTCCTCCCCCACCCCGTACCCATGAGGTGCAAAGGAAACCAAAATCTCTCTGACCTCCAGAGGGCCAGTCAATAGAGAGCTACTTCTGAGCCTAGTTACTGGTGCCGTGTGTCACGCTAGTTGAACAGAACCAAGGAGACCAAAGGGAGTCATATTCCACGTTCCCACCCCCTGGAGAGAAAAGGAAGATGCTATCCCGTGGCTGCTGCCTGCCACCTGCTGACCATGAAGAAAGCAGCTTGAGAGCAAAGTCAGAATGCCAAGGATGGCCTGAGGAGAAGAGACACAAAGGATAAAAGGATGTTGGGGACATCCTGGGTCCCTGCCCTTGGACCTCCTGCTGTGAGAGATAATTTTCCTTATTGTTGAAGCTGGTTTTGAAGTATCATTCTCACTAAAAGGAGCCAAGGGCTTCTCTTCCAGGGTCGGGGCAGGGAAAGTATAAGATGAGTGTGGAACCCCATATAGTGAGAATGTAAGGAAGTTCTTAACCTGAAGGAGTTCCCAAAGACTAAATCTGGGATAATTTGAGTAGCAAAATTAAAAAGTAATAGTAATGGATTATAATCCATGGAATAAAATATTCATGAATCAACATTAATGTCAATAACTGAATAAGCAAATAGGGAAGGGACAGATCTTCCTTACAGTAGAATTCAATTAATAATCTAGATGTAATGATGAAAGGAGAAAATCTCCATTTGGCAAACATCAAATAGTTGTTTCAGGCAAGATCCATTAATGGATGCAAGACCCATTAAAATGATCTTGTTTCAGGTAAGATCCATTAAAATGAGTGGGTGAGGGCCTCCCCTGTGGCGCAGCAGTTGAGTGCTGGGTTGCGAAGCTGCCTGCAGCCTCTGCAGCACCGGTTCGATCCCCGGCTGCTCCCCGGCCACCGGGTGAGGGTCCCACATGGCGTGCAGACCTCTCCTGCCGCCCACTGCTGCCCTCAGCAGTGTACTTCGGTCCTTCTGCCTGCTCTGCTCCCTGCTCTGGCTCTGGTGAATTCTCTCACCCTCCCGCGTTCCTGACTGTACCCAGTGCTTGTATAAATAAATAAATAAATCTTTAAAAAAAATAAAACTGCAACTTCTTATTTAAAAAAAAATAAAAATAAAAAAAATAAAATGAGTGGGTGAAATTAAGATAAGAAGCAGGATATGTGCTTAGTCTCAAAACACCTCCTTGACACACACAACAATTACAAAAGTAAAATACTAGAAATTCAACATCAGAGAAACCTGGTGAACAGCCCCTGAGCCATGTAATCTGCATTAACAACACCAGGCACAGCACACTGGTATCGTGCACTCCTTGATATCAGCACCGAGAGCACTACCTCACTATTGTAGTCTTCTTGTCCCAAATACATAACCTCCATCTAAATTCCTGACAGAGACTTGGCGCGAGCTCCAGTTCTAGCTCTGAATATGGCCTGTATATCAGTTAACAGAGCAAATGCTAAACCCAAATTCAAGGATGTTCTATTAAACACCCAACTAGGGCTCTTCAATAGTTAAGGTCATAACAGAGAAGGCAAGATTAAGGAGGGGGTTGCAGACTGGAGGAGATCCTGGGCCAGGGAAAGGCTATTAGCGGGACACTTGACAGTTTGAATAAGGTGTGTGGTTTAGTTAATAGTGCTGTGTTAATTTTCTGGTTTTGATAACAGTATTGTGGTTATATAAGATGTTAACACTAGGGAAGCTGAGTGAAGTCTTTTTTGGTAACTTTTCTGTAACTCTAAAATTATTCAAAATAAAAAGTCATAAAAATTAGATAATTAAAAAAACAAGAGAACATAGTATTTATAGATAAAATGACATACATGTAGTTTATTCTAAAATATTACCGCAAAAAAAGGCAGAGAGACAGATGGCACAGGACAGGAGGATATTGGTTATTGTGGCAGATGACTATGGGACCCTCTGTATGATTCTCTTTTGTGTTTCTGGGTCTTTCCTACAATATAAAGATCAAAAGGAAATAAAGAATCAGTTAAATCACTATTATAAATGACAAAATTCTGGAGAGTGGATGAGTAATAAATTACAACTCAGAAAAAGTAAAGTAAATAGAGCCCTCCTTGGAGAGAGGGGAGGCAGATGCTTGTGCCAAGAGCTGACACATATTTTGCAACAGAAGCTAAAGCTAAAACAAACACATCCAGGGATGTCAGAAGCAAGATCCCCAGGAAAATAAGGAAAGGGGAGAGGAAAGACCCACCTTCAGCCTGCGTGGGCATCTCACTGCTGTCTAGTGAGCGATCGGCTAGCTGCTCTTCTCCCAGGCACCCCGTTGGTGAAAGGCAGGTTGGCAGCAGGTAGGACTGAGAGGCAGGGCCACAGGCAGAAAGGAGGCCAGAGTTCTCCAGACATGGGAGGCTGTGTGTGTAGTACAATCCCACTCAAACACCCAGGGCCTTAGGGCAAAGCTTATGGGAATCAGGAAGCATGGCAGTGGGGGCCTTGAGGGGCAAACGGGCAGAGACCAGGCTTTGAGAATGGGCAGGGGGAGACTGCTTCTAATTAGAGGCCAAGTCCTCCAGCCACCTGCTAGGCCCCGCTGCACCTGCTGGGGTTGACAGAGGTAGGGCAAATACAGGCTAGGCCACCTATACCTTCATTGAGCACGTCAGGCTCTAGAGCTACCTTCGAAGAGGAAAGGAAAGGAAGACTGCTAGTCACAGACAGATCACTTCACTAGAAATAGTGTGGTGGTTAAAAGCACGGGCCCCTGAGTTTCTAATGGACAAGCCAGGCGGCCTGCACCAACATCTGAATAGTCAGAACCACCCCCAATACTTTACGTTGGCAGCATACTAAAAACTATTTGTACATGTTCTCATTTATTTCTTAAACCGGAGTTTAGCGGTTAGCATAGTACCATTAACATTTCCCCATCTTACAGATCAGAACACAGAAGGCAGGAGAAGCTAAGTCCCTCAGTTTGTATGGAATGGACTCAGGATTTAAGCGTGGAGCCCAGAAGTACTATATTATGTTAACAGCCCAGGCACCATTTGGACCTCACCCTGTTGGCATTCCAGGGCAAGGTGGTCCAGGGGACACAAATGTTATCATTTATCATTCCCTACCACCTCTACTTTGGTACCAGAAAGAGGACCCAACTTTGCATAGGGCACAAAGAGCTGAGCAGATCTGCAAGGAAAACTCATGATAGAACAAGAACATTTTTCAGAAGGATCCCATCTGCTTTGAGAAACACTGGAGGAAGGTGTTGGTGATGCCGTCGCACCTGCGGATACAGTAAGAGCTGGGCAGCTGGGGAGGAGCCGCCTACAGTGGGGGTTCACCATCTGAGGTAGGTCAGCCAGCACTAGGTGCAGATCCCACAGAGGCTCAGAGAAGCAGATCATGAGAGCCTTGGGGTCTGGGAAGGAGCAAAAAGCTCCATGAATTCTAGGTCTAGAGCCAGGAGTATAAACTCACATTTATACCGAGTCCAAGAACCAATGGGGAAAGTGAAGGCAAGGGCTGGAGGGATTTATGGCCTGGACACACAACACCTAGGTTAGAGCTCAAGGTGATAAGGGCCTGACAGGAAAAGTGGCCTG